ACCTACTTAGAACAAGCTTAGCAAAGCACAGGGACCGCGGTTCAATCCCCCAGTACCACATGCCAGCCAGTCCCCGCCCCCTGGTGGGTTGAGCTGGCCACACACACACACACACACACACACACATAAATAAATAAAATTTATGAAAAAAAATATAACTGTGTTTATGTGGGAAAGGCCAAAAATACACTGTTGCTTAGGTCATTGTTGAAAACCCAAACAGTAATCTGCGCCTGGGGTTTTGGAACATTGCCATGGACATTGACTCATCACATTCTGCAGTGGCAGTGCACCTGCGCCATGGGTGCCTGTGTGTTTCCAGAGGACCTTTCTCATGCCGGTCTTGGGTGGCTGGCTCCATGTGTCCAGGTATGGGGCCGACGTGACCTCTGGTCCACTGAGCTATCTCGTGGGCTCTTGAGTAAAATATTTTAAGGAGTGCTTTTTTTTTTTTTTTATTACCAATGTAATTTTCTCCAGGACAACTGTGCCTTCATTCTGTTCTCTTCTTTCCTACCTGACCCTGTCACTTGATGATGTTGGACCAGGGTGAAGTAGAGGAACTGCTGGGAGAATTTCTTTTCTTTTCTTTTTTTTTTTTTTTTCTCTAAATGCCCTAAGGGGTGGTTTGGCTGTCTGGAGTGTTGTGGGGATGAACTACAGTAACCTGAGGCTGACAGCTTTGTGGAAGCAGCCACTTAAACAACTGAGCTAAGGCCAGGCCCCTGAGAATTTCTATACTTGGCTTATCCCCAGCCTCCTCAACTTCTCTGGGCACATAAATAGCCTTTCTCAGTAGGGACTAGAGGAGATGGGTGTCGTAAGGCAGTAGTAGATCCAAGCCAGCATGGGAGGATCTGGCAGTAAGTAAAGGAGGTACGGTGAAACCTGACTTAGCATCAGAGCCTCTGAGCTGGTGCAGACTACCACTTGGACACCACTGTCTCTGGATAGTCCTGGTCATGAGTTGGATAGTGAGGTTTTTATTATTTTTAATTTTTTGGTACTAGGAATCAAACTCAGGACCTTGTGCTTGCCAGGCAGGCACTGTGCAGCTGAGCTGACTCAGGTAGTGAGGAACTGGAGAATTTTGTGCTTAAATCAGGATTGGCCACCACTGTCTTCAAGTTAAAGTTCTTTCTCTGTTAATCAGAATCTTTCAAATTGTACGACTGGTCTTTCACATTTTAATTTATTTTCTTGTATTTTTTTGAGATAGGGTCTCCAAATGTAGCACAGACTGGCCTCAAACTCACAATCTTCCGCCCTAACCTCCAAGCTGCTGGGATTATTGGCATATACTCCCATGCTTGGCATTATCTCTGACATTTAAAAAACCACATTGTTCCATTTGGGCTGCTCTCATGAAGCAAAGAGACTACTGAGGCTTATCAAACATCTGTCTTGGTGTGGTTTCTCTCCTGCCTCTCTAGTTGTCTGGCTGGCTTGCTTTCTCCCCCTACCTTCTTCCTGGGATTGAACCTAGAGCTTTAGCCCTGAGCTACATCCATGCCACTTTTTACATTTTACGGTGGTCTCCCCGAAGACAGTCTCGAACTTGTGGTCATCCTGCCTCAGCCTCCCCAGAGTACAGATATGTACCACCATGCCTGCATCATTTTGATTGTCTTTGAACAGAAAAATGGACATTGCTGTATTTTTCTCCTAGCTCTATTATAAAAAAATTACTACAGACTGGTTGATTTAAAACAACAGAAATTTGTTTTCTTAAAGTTCTAGAGGCCAGAAGTCCAAAATCAAGTGTTGATGGGTTGGCTCCTCCTACAGGGTCATGGTGAATCCGTCTTGTGCTTCTCTCCTAGCATTAGATGGTACCAGCACTTGTTTGTTTATAGACACAGCAGCTCATCATGGCCTCCATCTTCCCTGACACTTCTCTGTGTTCTCTTTTTATAGAAATGGATAGGACCCACCCAGATAATCCAGGACGATCTCACCTCACGATCTTTAGTTTAATTACATCTACAGAGATGCTTTTTCTATATAAGGTCACAGTCACATGTGTGTGTGTGTGT